TCTCCCATCGTTGAAGCTGCTGCAGTGTGTCGAGGAGCCGAAACTTGCGTCACATGAGAATTAGGTAGAAACGACCGCGGAAGGGTCTAGGGCCGACGCCCCGACCCTCTATGTCCAGTCTGTTCTCTCATCTTCTCCCGTCGGCACCTGCACTGTACTTCACCCTCAGTCTGCGAAGAAGCAGACGATGAGCAGTATGCAATTGGTCAGCCACGACAACATCTACGACCAACATTCGTTGTTTGTATCCTCCTGCGTCAAGGCACCGCGATCTGTCCAATACCGCCACATTCTGAACAAAGCGCCGTCCGAACTGTGCCGTCATCGATTCGTTGAACATCGGTGCAGCATTGCACCTAGAATGCCGACCAAGCTGCGATTGAAGTGTTAAGCTTGCCACTCGCCATGTCTTTCAATGTATAGCATTTACTCGAAGCCTTACTGACGATTCATACCTTGCGAGGGAGAGCACCATCCGCAATCGGTCACAATTGAGCCGCCGAGTAACGATGGCTTTCAAAGGCTACCCAGAGAGGGGTTGCCGCAACCTTGCCTTCAACTCGCGAATCAACTACACCTCCACGTCGACGTGCTGTATGCTGCGGCACGCCGATGCCCCCATAAAGAATCGTATGCTAGCTCCTTGGACTCAGACAAAAAGCTCAAACTTGCTAGCTTCGCGCAACCGATGGAATAGCACCGGATTTGACCTTTGAAGTTCAACTTCAGTATCTTGGCGGACAAGACTCGTTGCTGCGGCCTGCGCTCATCTCATCTCTGGTCCACCACCCTTACAAACACTTTAAACCCCCGGCCGCACTTTGCTCTGCAACAAGCGCCGGACGACTGCCGGACGACTGGGCGGTAACGTACACTGTCATGGCCGATCTGAACCACGGCGGTCGCGTCAGTGTGGGCTACCTCCCGTGTGTCAACGGAAACGTCCCCCTCCATCAACCAAAGCCTTTGCACGAGTTGCTCGCCACCGACATGACCGAGTCGTCATGGCCCTCAAACGTCTGGATGCACTAACCCGTGGCTGTGCGCCATATCCGAAGACCTTTGCGAAGCGCAAGGTCAAGGATGTTGGCATCTGGTACGCTCTGGAACGTCTGGTAGGACATGAACTGCCCCAACAGCTGGCTCTGTGACCGACATCTCGCGATAGAAATACGCTTTGCTCTCTTTGCAGGACGAAAAACACGCCGAGGGTTCTCCATATCCGTCAGTTTACATCGGACCTTGGAGGAGTTGCACATGCGAGGCATTCATTCCGTCACATATACCGTCACGACCGACAAATTCGGTCTTGTGTGGTAGTGGACGCGTCTTGCGGAACAAGTTCTATCACCGAAAGGTACGGCTTCCTGCGAGTTGTTGATTTTGGACATTTGTCGTATGGCGCCGGATGCCCTAGGACAATCTCCTTCTTTGTTGGGGTGTTCGTGATGGGAATTGTTTTCAGCTTCTCCAGCTAGAGGACGAAGAGTGGGGCGGAAAGATGGGCATCGAAGTTCGTCGGAGGCTTGTCCCTGGAAACAGCTTCTGAGGCCGAATTAAGTCGTGGTCTGGAAATGGGTACAGCGGCATTTATGTGCTACGTATATAACGCAACCCCTCCGTCAATCTTGTCCGCACCAGCACTTAGACTTGTGTACATGTATCGTCACCCGCGGGGCACGGCAACTTTGAGGTCATCGAACAGAGCCATTATGACGCACGACACTGACAATAGTACTACGGGTGAGTTGAACGAAGCCGACGCAAGAGTAGATGCCCATTCTTGTAAGGCCACAAAGCTACGAACCAGCTGTTCTCTCAGTCGAAACTGACCTAGGTCAAGGTCTCGATGACGGTTTCGACAAGCAGATGGAGGAGTTCTTTGACTACATTCTGGACGCTAAAGCGTTCGAGGACATGGAGACGTACGTGAACGGAGGACCGGGGCCAGCGAGCACGGGATTTGAGGAGAGTCCCAGCGACAAGTAGATAATGGAAATGACCGAGGCAGGCAGGTCACGTTCAAGTTATCCGCGTTTCTAGAGTCAGGCCGAGTAGACTGAAAATGAGCGGGAACGCTTTGTTTTCACCTGATGCCTCACCTACTTGAAACAGGGACTCAGAATGTAATGTATTGGATTTAGATTTCCACATTTGCCATCGTACTGTGGTCGCAGATGTAGTGAAGCCGTTAACGTATGGATTGTTGGCATCAGCAGTTGACAGTCGGCCCGGGTGAAAAACGTTCTTCAGTAGATGCAGGATTCACTTGCGCTGGGATGTCGTCATCCCATGGCTTCTGTCAGTAGCCTGTGATTTGGGTCTGACTAATTAAACCCTTCAGACGGTCGGGGGGAACTGGGGTAGCAAGTGTCGGAGACTTGGAACCCTTTCTGGATTGTCCTGTCAGGGATCGAGGTCTCCTCCTATTCTGTAGGACACCATCTTTTCGGGGACAACCTCCACTTCTGGCGACACCCTCTGCCCTCTTGCGATGCACGTTTCTGACGACACCACCTTCTGATTCTGACTGCGCCGTTTTGTCGCACCTGCCGCCAGCCACCCTTCCCATCCCCTGGGAACGCCCTCATCCCTGCTGACGCCCTCTCAAGGCGGCACCCGCTTCTGACCCCCTGGCAGCACCCCGTCACGATGACACCCTCTTTTTATCCCTGTCAACACCTTCTCAAGACGGAGTCCACCCTCCCAAGACGGCACCCTCTTCTCATCCCTGTTAGCACCTTCTCAAGATGGCACCCTCTTTTCCCCCCTTGTTAACACCCTCTCAAGACGACACCCTCTTTTCACCCCTGGCGGTACCCTCTCAAGATGGCACCCTCTTTTCGTCC